CCCCAAGTCATAAATAATTTTCAAGAATTGATTATATTTTACTTTTATCTTCGTTACTTTCAGGGCTAATCAATATTGAATTTCTATCACAAAGTATTTCCGATCATAATGCTGTACTAGCACATCTTCAGATTAATACATCTTGTAAACCATCCCGATGGAGATTTAATACTTTTTTACTGCAAAATGAAGACTTTCTTTCTCAACTGAGAGCAGGACTGATTGAATTTATCAATATAAACCAGGACTCTGTTGCTAATCAGGAAATGCTATGGGCCTCCATCAAAGGGTTTTTAAGGAACAATGCTATCTCCTTTTCGGCTAAGCTTAAATTTTTTTTATCTTGAACAAATATCAATGTTAGAGAGAAGATGTGGGGAAATGGAAAAGGAATTAAGCAATCAATTTTCCAATGATACACAACAAAAATTACGTGTAGAGAGGGTCGCACTTAACGATCTGTTGCGAAGAAGAGCAGAGTATTTAATGCACATTACAAAAAATAAATATTACATAGATGGAAGCAGACAGAGCAGACTTTTGATTTGCGCTTACTCTTAAAAAACATGAGCGGCGTTTTAACATTCAAGCAATCCAGAGTTCAAAAAATGGTCTCACCTCACATCCTACAGACATTAACAATACGTTCATGTCATTTTTCGCTAGGGCTGGGGTAAACGATTATTAATTAAACGATTAGTCTGTCGATTATTTTATCGATTAGTCGACTAATCTAACGACTAATTGAACGATTCTTTTTTGTAACATGGAAATTGCAGGAGTGCACATTCAATGCACAACAATTTTGATCTGGTTCTTACAGAGTATCTACACTGTAAAATGTTTGGTAGGCTACTCAAATGAGCCCTATCACACTTGGATGTGGTGCTCATTTTAATGTTTTCAGTGCTCATAAAAAACATCCGGACTGATTTTTCGGTTTTGTTGACGGGGGTGGGGTTTACATGCGCTTCATAAGGCACACACGCACATTTGCACACACACGCGCAAGGTCTCTCGCTCTCTCCCTCGCTGCGCGCGCTACACGGTTTGGAGCTCGCGAGCTCTAGATTCCGGGAGATTTTAACTAATTTGCGGTCATCAGGGAGCCGCTATCACTATGCGGGAGACTTGGGATGTCAACTCCATTTGACAAAGAGCGCAAATAACGACACCTTTACGTTTGGGACTAAATTTGAAGTATTCCCATACCTTCGATGATTTAGTGCGAGCTGGGGTTTTTTAGGACTTTTTCTTTTGTTGGGACTTTTGCATGGCTTTGTTGTGAATTCTGTGAAGAGGTTGCCGTTTCGTCCTCGATTCTGCAATGTTTCGGTCTCCCACGTGTGTGTGGCGAGCTGTACCGCCGGGAACGGTGCAAAAAAAATAAATCCATAAATAAATAAAGAAGCGTCGACAAAATAAATATGACGTCGACGAATTTTTGACGTCGAAGCGTCGACGTCATCGACGCGCCGCTACAGGCCTATTTTTCGCAAAACTATATTCTTCAGAAATGCAACCCAGTACTGATCAGTTAAAACATTTTTTTGATCAGTTAAACTTAAACATACTTTCAAAGCAAAGGAGGAAGCTGACAGCCTTGAATCTGAAATCACCATAGAAGAATTACACTGCGCATTGTTAAGTTCAAACAAAGGAAAGTCCCCGGGAATCGATGGCTTACCAGTTGATTTATATCTGGTGCTGTGGGATCTACTTGGCCATATCTGGTTACGTACTATAAATGAGTCCATATTCAAAGGCCGTTTTCACAAAGACCTCAATACAGCTCTAATCACGGTTATGCCTAAACCCGGCAAAGATCATTCGGACTGTTCTAATTATAGGCCCATCTCCTTGATTAACGATGACGTTAAAATGTATGCTAAAGTTATTGCCAGGCGTCTACAGTCAGTGATACATAAATTAATTGACTCAGATCAATCAGGATTTATTACGGGTCGTTTGGCTTCTGACAATGTTCGTCGAGTGTTACATATCATTGCCGAAACCGAGAAATTAGAAACACCCAGCGGCCTCCTGTTTATTGACGCTGAAAAAGCCTTCGATCGGCTGGAATGGAGCTATCTATGGTATACATTAGAGAAGTTCAATTTCGGTGACCATTTTATTAGAATGATTCAAACTCTATACACTAATCCCATGGCCAGGGGTTAGAGGGGAATTAGTAGTCGTATAAGTTTTCTTTCTTATTTTACAAAATATTGTGTTAACTTTTTCAAAATAAATAAAAACACTAAATTACAAAAAAAAACTGATTGGTAATGTCAAATTAATTCAACCTTTTTAGCAATTTTTGCAGAAATAGTTTATTTTTTTAGGAAAAATCAACATTTCTGCATTCTCTGGGAGAATTTGGGACCTCTCCTGGCTTATTGTATCTCCAACAGTAGAGAATACCCTCTCAGAAGGGGTAGATTATGCTTGCACGCACATGTAAGAGTCAATATTTTTTTTAATACGTTTGAACGATTGATTCATAAAGACATCACTTGTTTCATTACTGGATGAATCAGCATTTTTGAACGAGTCTCTTGAATGTATGATTCAATGACAAATGCATTTTTTAAAGCTGCAGTCTATAATAGTGTTGGGCGATATGCTCTATTTTCATATCGTCAGCCTGTGAGATCGGCGATACACGATATTATCGTGAGGGGGCCGGGCCTTATTTATTTGATCATTAACTTGCTTATTTACTCATTCATTTGCTTGTTTAATTACTTCGTTTTATATATGAGAATATTTTTCTATTTTGCTAGCAAAGGTGGAGTGTTTATTAATAGGCTAAATCAGGTTATTTCCTGGTATAGTGAGGTAAAAAAAAATCCAAATCATTCTTGAATCGGGCTCTGAGTATTTAATTTATTATGTCTTTTGCGATGTTAAATAAAGCATTAAAAACTGAAGAGTATTTCAACATGTCAGCGGGAAATTAGCGGACGCAAATTATCCTCATGCCGTTACAGATCCTGCATTTTGACTGTAGCCCAGCCTACTTCTGAGATGAGAACACGTTTTTATAATTTAAATTCACAGTAAGGACGCTTTCCTGTCATATAGCCTATCACATATACGCACTTCAATAAGCCCAAAGAACACGGGTTAATGTGTTTATAATGCCGGGAGAAATCAGGGCAATGGCCAAAAATCTAGCTGAGTCGATCGGTTTATACTTAAACGACTTGACTCCAATAAAGGAAAACAGGTTAATGCGTTTACTAGACCACATGCATTGTCGGTTTATTCAGCATAATCGGGTTAAGAACGTGCATGTAAATGCGCTCACTTATTCCCTGAAAGTGAAAGCAGAAATACTATCATCTATCAGCACAACCCTAGTCCGTAACTGTTGGCGCTCTAGCGGTTAATAAACAGAACTACATGCATCTTGCGGAAGAACATTGTAGCCGGAGCTACACTATATATATATATATATAAGTGTAGCTCCGGCTACAATGTTCTTCCGCAAGACTTTTGTTGCAAGAATTTGTTGACCAGTCTGTTAAACTCATTTGAAAAGGTTAAGAAATATACACAAAAAGGATTGTTTGAGTTGAGTGTTGTGCATTTTTTCCTTACTACTATTTTTTTTTTAGTTTAATCATTTTAATGGAATCAGAACCGGAATTGTTAGGCGGAACCGGAAAATTGATATATATATATATATACACACACACACTCACCTAAATGATTATTAGGAACACCTGTTCAATTTCTCATTAATGCAATTATCTAATCAACCAATCACATGGCAGTTGCTTCAATGCATTTAGGGGTGTGGTCCTGGTCAAGACAATCTCCTTAAATCCAAACTGAATGTCAGAATGGGAAAGAAAGGTGATCTAGGGGGCTTTCACACTGGCAGTTTAGTTCGGAACGGGGCACGGTTCGCATGAAAAATCGCTAATGTGAACGCTGTCATGGGACCCGGGTGCGCACTGGGATACCGAACCCGAGACTACCTGGAGGAGGTGGTCTGAGTTCGGTTGCTCCCGAACCGTGCCGCGGTTCGCGTGAATGTGAAAGCAGCACGGACTCGGGTGCGCACTTGTTCAGGAAGTAAAGTGACCTGCGCATGCGTTTTAGCTCATTGTGATGTATTCAGTTAAATAAAACACTTGTAAGGGATGATAGTGTTGATGATTTACCTTGGATACGAGCGAGAGTGAGCCTGCAGTGTATTCGTGCATTGCGCGTGAAATCAGGGCACCACATTTGGAAATCCTCTGTCTCCTCAAAAGAGTCCGTTTGCAAGCAGCAGAGGGCCACCTTATGTGACACACGCACAGTAAACCTGTATTGTTCACTCAACTGCGCATAATAGCAGCGAATTAATAAAATACACAATATTGACCCGCGTTATGTTTTCTATCATGCGCCGTGCACGTTTGCAATGACGTAATATGCACGCAAACGCACCAGGGTTCGATAGAATCAAGTTGAGTGTGAAACCAGACCAACGCTGCGGGGGGCGCCGGGAACAAACGCGCTCGGGCTCGGAAGTGTTGTGCTTTTTGCCTAATAAAGAAAAATAAACATGATGCGCGTTCTGCGTTCTCTGTGACAAGTATTGACTTAGTTACAGTTCATTACAGTTCTGACAGAGAGACACGAGACATGTGTCTTTTTAAAGCTTGTATTCTCTTCTTTTAAATGAAGTAATTTATTAAAAAAAAAAATATTTCCAGTTTATGTAATCCGTTTGAAACCAAGGAGAGGTACAGTTTTTTCGTTCTCAGTTCATTATCTTTAATTAGCTGAGGCCGCCACGCCCCCAGCGCTTTTCACATGGTAAATAGGTGATCTAATGTTATGCATAGCACACGCCCAGCGATCAATGGCATAAAAACACGAAGTTTCTTCACTGATAGATTCATTGCGTTTTGAGGATGGCACAGTACTCCGACAAAGAGGCCCTTCAGATGATTCTGGACAGCGAGGAAGAATTCACTTTTCCTTAGAGGAAGATTATAACTCGGACGAGGAACGGCTGCATTTTGAAGAACGAATTGATCCCGCCGAGGATACAAGTTCGGAGTAAGTTGTTTAGTGTTTTATAATTCCTTTTCTGATCGTATAGAGCTCAAATGAATTTTCAGACTATATTTTGCCTAGCTTTTGACATCTTACAGAAAAGATTGCCTCACAATATCCCTAACATTCGTGTATACGCTCGTGTAAACTTTTTAAATGTGATATTACTCTCTAAACATATTTGTATATTAAATATATAGTTTTGATTAGCTTATGACACTGATTATCATGCTAAAATACTGCCTTATGCGTTATGTATTTTGTTTGCGAATAACTGCATGTTTAGGTATAGCCTATTGATTTAGTGAAATATATTTCAGCCTCCGGTAAAATATGTGATACTGTCTAAATACAATATATTTTTTATATAAAAATGTTGAGTTTTGGTTAGCCTATGACACTACTTATGCTAAAATAGTGCCTTATGCGTAATGTATTTTGTTTGTGAATAACTGCTTAGGTGATATAACGAGAAATATTTCAGGCTCCGGTAAAAGAGGCCTAAATACAATATATTTTTTATATAATTAAATGTTCAGTTTTAGTTAGCCTATGACACTATATCATGCGTAAATAACTGAATACAGGTGTAAATGTTTGAAATGTAGTGATGTGTCGTTCGCGAACGATCCGTTCATTGCGTGTAGGCCTATCACTAAATGTGTGCGGTCTATATGGGCCATCAACAGATATTTCTCCGTCCCGTGGCCCATCAACAGATATATACATACATTGTGCATCCATACCCATTAATTGTCCATCAGTTTACTTTGGATAATGTATGCTAACAGTTTTCTTTTTATTATTATTATTTTTTTTAGGAATGTGTCTGCATCATGCTCTCCTTCGCCAGCACCTCGCAGAGGGACACGCAGGTGTCGTTCAGTTCTCAGTGCGATCGAGAATCATACTGAGTAAGTGCACAGACGTAATATTTTACAGATGAAATTTAGCCTAATTGTGTTTACATCGTCATAATGTAAAAGTAGGCTACCTATTCTTGTGTGAAATTACAAAAAAAATATATATATCCATGGCAATTAGTGATTGATAATGATAATAATACAGTTTATTTGATTGTGTTTATCAGCATGCTCATGCTTTTTTCTTTTTTATAACAGATGTGACAATGAACACGTCCATCCACCAGTTCCGAAGATAAAATATATATAATATATATAAAAAATATAGATATATATATAAAAAAAAACAAGTTTGGTCTTTTTATGTTTGTTTTTTTGAAAGGATGTGTTAAGTGATAGTAATGACTTTAAGTCTTTACGTTCTTAGGAAAGATTTCTATTTTGAATAAATGCTGTTCTTTTTAACTTTTTATTCATCAGTGAATCATTCTTAGTCCAGGCTGCCTCACAGTACCTTGGGCCATTAGCCATTGCGGGAGTGCCTTTAGTCTTCCCAGATGTAAATCACATTAATATTCATGGCCATTCACACTCCCACGCATACAGCAGTGCTGACCAAAAACTGACGTAAGAAATTTAAATCATTGTATTGTTGTTTGTGAAAGAGTGGTCAGAATGATTTTCACTTCAGTTTGAAGTAAAAATTCTAGCCTACAAGAATAGTAACTCAAAAGTCTTGTGGACAACTATTCAGTATGTGTTAAATGGCCTTATTGCGGTGACATTTTTTTCCCAAAACGTACTAACCACGCATAATATTTTTTTTTCTATAAAATGCAAACATGTACATCCATTTTGCTCACATATTATTGTAGCAGAGTTTGTGCTGAATACAGCAAATTTATATGTTGGCAAATGATATGTTTTAAGTAGCTGAAATAAGCACAAATGTCAGGGCATGTCAAAACATCTCAAGGGCCCCAAAAACACCTCAGACCCCAGAGGGTTAATGTAGACAATGTATTAAAGGACTAATGGAATATAATTACAGTATTTAGGCAACAGTTTTTCATACAAATACCATAGAAACCATAAAGTTACATTTTGCCATGCTAGTGAGCTGCTATAGGCTATGCCTGGTTTTATCTGTGGTTATCATGATCTAAATGCATGATACTGGAAAACTAATGGTTAATTTGAATAAAACTCAAACAGTCAGAATATTACATTTTACCAAAAAAAAATGTGGTTGTTAAATTTTTTTAATAGATGTTACTGTTTTTGTAAATGAACAAATTTAACATAGTACTTTTTGCTTGAGTTAGGATGCAGATTTACTGTCAACTCACTGTCAAATATGCGTTTCGAGATAAAACATGTAATATTAATATTGCAGCCTGCACTGCAAACTGTGCTGAAGATAGGGCTGTCAAAATTGCTCAAAAATGACGTTCGAATATTCCCTCTAAAAAAAAAAACATATATTCGAACTATTCGAATATCTGGTTGCGCATTTTGTCAATGACGCGCATTACGTTAATAACAGGACAAATTAATACAAAGAGACACAACTACTTGTATAGGTAGTTTATTTAAGTTTAAACATATTTGACAACGTATTAACTTACACAAAACCAAGTAAATCAACTAATGGCCAAGACCGCAGACCTTACTCTCGCTCGCACTCGCAGGCACTCTCTCTCTCTCTCTCTCTCGCCCTCACGCTCTCTGCGCATAACGGTTTAAATGAACAACAATAAACAAATGTTGAGTGCTGATCAAGAGTTTTGTGCAAGCAATTTAAGGTCGTGACTCTTGTCCTAAATATAGCAGGCTTCAATCGGTGATTGAAACAAATATTATTAACATTAATTTAAGTTTTACAGTATATAGAACCGACATTGAACGCTCCGAACGAGCTGTGCTGTGGTAAACTGCTGCTGCTAGCCTGCTACTATGGCTATTTCGAGGGCGTCTGGCCACGCCCCCATTGGCGGGCTCTGACGTGTCTGATGTAATGCTAGCTCATTGGCGCACACGTTGGAGGCGCCCGTGCCATTGGATGTGCAGTTGACGCAGCACAGCCAATGAGTGAGCCAGACACTCACTGTGCTATCTGTCTGTGCAGCTGGAAAATGCGTTTTACATTTTAAGCTTCAGAATTTTGCCACTCGCAAAGCAGACAGCCACGCCTTTGCTACCGCGGGCGTGTTTTTCCACATGATTCGAATATTAATTTTCACCTTCGAATTTCTGTTTTTTAAAACTATTCGAATATATATTTGAATTTAGAATATTCGTTGACAGCCCTAGCTGAAGATACGTGCCATCAAAGTCAGGCAACACAAACCTGTTTCAAGACTTGAAACAATATCCCTCATTAGCACATGCAGAAACTAAGAAACATTTGTTTGGCAAGTGTTTGTCATGATATGTTCTGACAATAAAGAGTAGTTTAAAACCACAATTAATGCTCTGGTTTCTACAACTTTCACTTAGGAGCAAAAATCTGCCTTTAAACTTGAAAGAAATAAAGATTTGACATTTATCGTGATAATTATCGATATCGACTGATATAAAAAAAATTATCGTGATAATTTTTTTTGGCCATATCGCCCAGCCCTAACTGAAATAACCACTCGTAACAACCGAGGTATGCAGCAAAGCATTTGTGAAGCCACAACACGCACAACCTTGAGGCGGATGGGCTACAACAGCAGAAGACACCACCGGGTACCACTCATCTCCACTACAAATAGGAAAAAGAGGCTACAATTTGCAAGAGCTCACCAAAATTGGACAGTTGAAGACTGGAAAAATGTTGCCTGGTCTGATGAGTCTCGATTTCTGTTGAGACATTCAGATGGTAGAGTCAGAATTTGGCGTAAACAGAATGAGAACATGGATCCATCATGCCTTGCGCATGCCTTGCACACTTTAGGCCCCTTAGTGCCAATTGGGCATCGTTTAAATGCCACGGCCTACCTGAGCATTGTTTCTGACCATGTCCATCCCTTTATGGCCACCATGTACCCATCCTCTGATGGCTACTTTCAGCAGGATAATGCACCATGTCACAAAGCTCGAATCATTTCAAATTGGTATCTTGAACATGACAATGAGTTCACTGTACTAAAATGGCCCCCACAGTCACCAGATCTCAACCCAATAGAGCATCTTTGGGATGTGGTGGAACGGGAGCTTCGTGCCCTGTCTGCCTCGCTGCCTGCTGTGCGGTGTGTTTGTTTGCTTCAAGGCTGTACGCTCCGTCTAAACCTCGTATTAGCTTCGTAATTCTTTCTGTTTTTGAACCATCATTTCTAGTTGTTTATACTACTGAATACATCTTACCCAACATCTCAGATTAACCTTACACCGCTAGCTTCCGTTATAGTTAGCACAACACACTAGTAACTCGCTAGCCTGTTAACGCGCCACCCGTGCGTTCATTTATTTATTTTCTCTCACGCCCGTGCCTTTGAGTTCAGAAAAAGCCCAGGTGAGTAAGAATCAGTCAACAAACACGGTGAGTAAGAATCAGTCAACAAACACGGTGAGTAATGTCTTGTCCTGTTATTGTCACCTGTGTCACATGTCATATGTTTAGTATAGCCTTCTCCAATGGCAATATAGGATTTATATGTGTCACGGCCTTGCCTGGCTCCTCCTCCTGGCTGTGTGCTGTGTCTGTCTCCTACAGGTGAGCTGGGTGCAGGTGTTTGGAGTTGTGCTAATTAGTTCCTGGTCTGGGCCTTTAAAGACGCTTCAGATGAGACCGGGAGAAGAACCAGCCTCCGTTTGCATCTCTCCCGCACCGTTTAGGATTTTTGTTTTGCTTATTAATTTCACTGATTGCTTACATGTTTATTTTTGTCAAAGCCAACTTCATTACTGGCTGTACAAAGTTTATTCTGTTAAAATTCTATTAATTTAATAAATCTAGTATATTCCTATTCCGTGTGTGGCCTTTCCCTATACTCTGTTGCTTGCTTTGAGCCAGGCTCGTAACATATGTGATAAATGCAAGGAGACAGTCAGGCTGACGGAGAAGATTTCAGAACTAGAGACACACATCCAAACTTTAATTGAGGATGGTAAGAATGCTAGATCTTTAGATAGTATTTTGGATGCGACTAGTTTAGTGAACACTGTACATTGTTGGTTCCGGCTGAAGTAGAGCCCGTGCAGCAGGGCAGATGGGTGACAGTTAGGGATCGCCGCTCTAGTCGCGGATCAAAGAACCACTCTTCCGTTCCGATTCCCATAACAAATCGATTTGCCCCACTCAGTGAAACACCCACTGAGAATTCTGTTGGTTGTGCCCTGGTAATTGGTTATTCGATCACACAGAACGTAAAAATAGAGACACCAGCCACCATAGTCACATGTTTGCCAGGAGCCAGAGCGCCCGACATCAAAGCAAATTTAAAAGTCCTGGCTAATGCTAATCGTAAATTCTCTAAGATCATTATTCATGTCGGCACTAATGATGTTCGACTCCGCCAGTCGGAGATCACCAAAATTAATATTAAAGAGGTGTGTGAACTCGCAAGTACGATGTCAGGCACTGTAATTTGCTCTGGCCCCCTTCCTGTTCGCAGGAGTGATGAGATGGTTAGTAGATTGTGTTCATTAAATCGCTGGTTGTCTGAGTGGTGTCCGCAAAATAATGTAGAATTCATAATAATAATAATACATTTTATTTAGAAAAGCGCCTTTCAAGGTACCCAAGGACACTGTACAAATTGGTATAGTAAAGAACATACAAAAGTACACAGTACATAAACAGTACACTGTGAAGTACACAGTACATAAAATGCCAAGATGCAGAGAAGATATAAACACCCTCAAATGGCAAACATGAGTGCATTGAACAAGAGGCGAAGACAGTGCAAGCAAAATCAGCGGGCTGACAAGTAAGCTAAACTAAAAAAGTGTGTTTTTAATTTAGTTTTAAAAATGGTAACACTTGTACTTTGGCGGATCTCAAGTGGTAGGGCATTCCACATTTTAGAACCTGCCACACTAAAGGCCCTGTCACCCATGGAGCG